CCTTGATGTACCCTGCTGTGATATATTAATAACTTTTTGCTTTCTGTAGTAAATTCTGTCAGAAATCATAGTCCAATTCCAAATTATACCATTTACCAAGCCTAATGCAACTTTAAGGACATTACACAGTATTTTGTCTAAGTATTTTAAATCAATAGGGTTTAACATGCACACTTTTTAATTTTCTAGTGGTGTGTAATTGCATTTGAAGCTTAGGATTTTGCTGCTTTGGTCGGAAAGACACATCTAGCTTTCCACACTCATGTAGGGAATACATACTTTGGAGATAGTGTAATGTGAAATTCCTCCAATGAGAAAATCAGAGTGACATCTAAGGAAATTGCCTGTAGACCTCAGAGCCAGGTTTAAGCAGTGGAAAGATAATTTCTGTGCTAACACTGCCACCCATCGAAAAATAAAAGGCACAGTCATTGTACATCCCTGTTTTCCTCTCTTCTTCCTCTTTGGTATGCTGCAGTGTTTTCATGGATATTTTCTCCTCATTGCTGTCTTTAATAATGTGAAGCTATCAGGAAAAAATTTGGAAATAAACTAAATCTAAGTGGTAGGTCAAATATAGCTATAAACCAGAAGATAAATTCTCTCCAGAACAAAACCAGTAATGTATGGAAGTCTCCCTGTGAATGGTGGCAGGGAGCTACTGAACCCCAGCACAAAAACATGGCATGTATAACCATACACATCATGAAATTGCATGTAGAGCCCTGACCCAACAGAATCCCACCAGCTGGGCTCTTCCCTCCACCCTGGAGAGCTGCACTTTCCCTTTGCTAGAGGGAAAATCTCCCTCTGACCTCTTGCTGTTTTCTCTGCAGTTCTTACACCTTTTTTATCTTCTGCCGCACTAATGTTAAGATCAAACCACATGATTTCTTTTTCTTAACATGGCTCTTCACCTTGGGGTGGAGTGGTGGTTTCCCCTTGATGCAACCCAAAGTTGTTTCCTTGCCCTGGCTGTGGGAGGTTTCCTTATCTTCAAGTGTCTCTGGTTTCACAGTTTGTTCCCCAAATCTTGCTTTCACCATTTCCTCTTGCAGATTATTAACATCCATATCATACAGTGGTCATTAGCAGTGAAACACTTGAACCATGTAGTTTTACAGCAAATTCCCTAGCACAAAGATTTGATTTTCTTTATTATCTCCTGCATTTCCCAAGAGTTACCCCTGCACCTACAGCAGAGGGAGTTAATTTAGCTCAGGAAATCAGCTGCTCTCTCCTTCCCCAACTCCCCAACCTTTTGCTGTGCAGTCCTACTCCCACTCTCAGCTTCTGGTCAAAGTTATTCTTGTTAGTAAAAGCACAAGGTACATGAGGGATGTAAAGGCTGTCCTTGGGTCAACAAAAACACCCAAGGAGACCTTTTTATGAACGTTGAAAATATGAACTAAAATGATTTTAAAAGGCAAACTCCTATACTTTAATACTTTAAAACAATGCTCCTTCTTTTTTCCAATTAACAAGGTTATTAGAAAAAGCCTGATCTTGCTTATAACTAAAGTAGTAAATCACTTTTTAAAAACACTTATAACTTTGTTTTCTGGAAAGTGGAATTAATATGCTTTTCTATTGAGCAACATCATATAAATTATGGTTTTGTGTACTATATGAACACCAGGGTTTTATTAAGCAACTGCATTTCCTGTGCAACTGGAGATGAAAAACTTACCAGGATGGCACAGATGGAAAGGTCATTAACAGAAGTAGAGAAATCCTTCTGCAAATCTCACTCTGTAAAGGGTTTTATGTAACAGCTCAATCTCACTGAGATGTTATTGAATAACAGGCAGCATGCTGGAAATCTTCTAATGCTTTACACAGCCTGGATTTATGGACAGGGGGTTAAATCATTGTATTGCTTATTGTCTGAAGGATGAAGAGTGGAGAGGTCTGGACTGGTGATTTATTAAATATGGATCTGTTATGATTCTTTCAAAATGAAAAAAAAAAAGACAGCTCAAAGAATGATTTATTCTTCATTTAACAGAGTTTCAGAAATGAGGAAATCTCCACAAGTTCTTGAAAAATTTAAAGAAAACCATTTTTTCGATTAAATAGCAACAGAAAAAAATGAGATGCCAAAGGCGATAAGATACTGTTTGGGTAACTAGAGAGTTAGGCCTGGACAGGTTTAGTTAGGACTTCCCATGCAATATTTTTACCTTCATGAGAGAGTGTGAACTGTTTCACAAGACACAAGTTTATGAGCTGTGTAACCAGTGTCAGAGTTATCCAGTTCCCCTGCTGATGGAAAGTTCCTCCAAGTCCAATGCTCTCTCTGTTGTTTTATGATCTGAGGTTGCAGAACTTCTTTCCAGTTCTTACCACAATTCTGGCAAATCTAAGATGCTTAGCTGCCACTTCTTACTGCTTTGCTGGATTCACTTTTTCTCTCAGGTTATCTAAATTTTCACCTTATTTACTAATTTTGCTAAATACATGGCAAAGGAATAAACTGCAGCAATCTGACCACTAAACTTGAGCAGCACAAAATCAAAAAAATCTAAATGGGCAACAGCAAAACTTACACAACTTCACTATTGGATTTCACTGCATTTGAGAAACCTGTGTGTAAGCACAGATATCTTTGCTTTGATTAGTCTTCACACAATTGTTACTGCTTGGAACTGAAATTCTCCTTAAGATACAAGAATTACTACATTGTTTTCTTACACATCTTGATGGGAAGTTGATCTTAATGATTTGCATTCTCTCCTTACTGCCCTGCAGAGATGTACATTAATTTTTCTGTGTAATTTTGTATGCAAGGTTATTGGAGCAATGATGCTTCCAGAACTTAGGGTGAATAACTAAGAAAAAAAATTAAAGAAAAAAATTTTAATTACTTGGAGGAATGAAAACAATCTCCTGGTTATGTCCTATGTCCTATTAGGCCAACCTCCTAACACCTCACTTAAATTTGCATACCCTCCCCAGCTTATTGTCAGCAGATGAATTTATAACACAAGATCCTTTTCACCAAAGGCAAAGGTATCCCTGCTTTGTCTACTTGCAAAATATTATTCCATCCATTCCTCAAACAGCCATGGACCTCACTCTAATGCAAATTGTAAATTTAAATTCTATGCAGCACCTGCCATGGAAGTAAATAGGTATTTTCAAATACTCCAAACAATATTGATGAAAAGATTTGAATAACTGCTGAAGTGCAGGGGTCAAATATGCTTGAACCTGGGACTTCAGAGCTACAGACAAAAATGAACCTGTGTGCCACCCCTTGCAGAACAAGTAATAATGATGGACTCAGCCAAGTGAATCCCTAGAGGACAGGTCTGGTTTCTAATACATGTACCTTCTACTCCCAACTCTAGTAACCAGAAACTTTTAGCAGATTTTAGCAAGATTGGATTTCCTCGTCAACAGATGGTCAATAAAGCACAAAATATTTTTTCATTCATAACAATTAAGTTATAATATTCATTTAATTCCCTAAGAATAGTGCTGATGAATCAAAAATGCACCTCCAGCAACTCCATATACAAGGAAATTTAGCAGCAGAAGCTAATTTAAGAATGAATATACAACTCAAAGACTTTCAGAACAGTCTGGACTGTTGTCCCAAATTTGCACAATAATTCCAACACCGAAGAGAATCCAGGTACACAGTAACAATGGCATTTCCATTTTCTTTTGCTTTTTTACTGGCCAGAAGCAACCAATAAATTGAAAATACTGAACAGAAGGACTCTTCAGCAGGACTAGAATGCAACTGAAAATACTGGCAAGGACTTCTCCCCATAGCTGGATGCCCAGAACCATTTTGTACATGTGCTTGTGTGCAGGGGTAAGAAATTGCAACTTATCCATTGCTTAGGCTTTAAAAAAAATAAAAGTAAATGATTTAAATAAAGCTAAAAATGCTAAGAAGTTGACCTGCCACTCCATGTGTCTGCTTTTGAAATGAAACTGCTCTGTTTATACAAAACACTTGTTCTGTTTACTCTGTGCCCTCAAAACAACAGACAGACTCACAATCTGTGAGAACCTTGGACTAAGTGAGGAGCAAAGAGGACTGGAGAAACTGAGAAGGAACTAACAGGTTTTTTCCTTGCCTTAGGCAACACTCCTGCACATGGCAATTATTAAAGGATTATGAAACAGAAGCAGGCACAGGCAGTTTTACTTCCTGTCACCCCTACACTTCTGTAATGAACATGCAAGGCTTAAGTTTCATAACACCCCAAATAAGAAAACCAGGTCATGCTCAGGAGGAGTCATATTTGAGAACATATCCATCACTCAAGGTGATGGGTAGACCTTGGCTGGGTGCCAGGTGCCCACCAGGCCACTCCATGCCTTCCCAGAGGGACAGGGGAGATAAAATATGACACAAAACAAATTGTAGGTTAAGATGAAGCAGCTTACTAGAAGAAAAGTTTGTGTGTGCATAAACAAAGTAAAAAAAAATTGAAATTTTATTCTGTAGTTCCCATTGGAATGCCCAGCCACTTCCTGGGAAGCAGGGCCTCAGCATGGAAGTGATTGCTTGGGAGGGCAAACACTGTAAAACTGAATGCAACACCTTCCTCCTCCTTTTCTTATCTTTGATACCTGAGCTGATGTCATTGGTGTGGAATGTCCCTTTGGCCAATTTGTGCCAGCTGCCCTGGCTGTGTCCCCTGCCAGCACCTTGCCCATCCCCAGCCTACTCAAGGCAGGTGGGGTCACTGACATAGTTTATGAAAAATCCCTTTGCCAGGATCTTTTCTCCTGAGAAGCTGGGAAGCTTCAGCTTCTCCATGTTTTGCTACTTTGGAATGTGATTTGGAGAATTGCTTACCCAGCATGTGAATTGTTTTTACTTGGTGACCAGTCACAGGTCCAGTTGTTTTGGGATTCTGATCAGTCACAGGTTTTTATTATTCATTCCTTTCTAGATTTCTGATGTCTCCTTTCTCTTTCTTTAGTATAGTTTTAATATATCATTTTCTTTTAATATAATATATATTGTAAAACAATAAATCAGCCTTCTGAAACATGGAGTCAAGATTCTCATCTCTTCCCTCATCCTGGGGACCCTCAAACACCATCACAAGGGGGAATGCTGGAGAGACAGAGCTGGGCCAGCACTGCTCAGCTGCACCCAAGCACTGCTGGGCTCTCAGCAGAGCAAAGCACAGCCCCGTGAGGGCTGCTGGGGAAATGAGCTCCAGTTCACACACACCCAGGGCATCACAGTAATTACTTTTTACACTCATTTCAGATAGTTCTGTTCAAATGCATTACTTTGTTCAAATGTATATATTTAATAGATAGAAACAACAGAATGTGAACACCAAGGCAAAGCGACCAAAGAAGAATACCCAGGAAAATATCAGTGTCTCCTTATTAGGCTTAGGTTATTATTAATATTGAATATAAAAGTAGTCCTCTCTTTTAGGAATCAAAGTATTATTATAGTAGTTTTAAATAACTACTATAATTAGTTACTTTAAAATTACAGAGTTCTTGGGAAAAAAAAAAGTTGAAATATATTTCTCTAAATGATATTATTGATCTGTGCAGATAAAGAGCCCTTATTTGAATATTAAAAATTATTTCACCATATTAAAAAAATAATAGATAAGACCATAAAGCTTTTAGCTTACAGAAATATAACTGTAACATGTACATTTCTCATATTCTGACTGGAGATCAGCAATTCATTGGAAAGTTGGGAAATCCATGTTCTTCTTCCTTCCATAGAGAACATCTAGATTTCATTACCAAACTCCTGCTTTCTGAGGCTTAATGACCACTACGTTCAAAAAACATGAAGTCCTAAGGGGACAAAAAAAAAAAAGGCAAACAAAACAAATAATTAGAATTCCTAAATGTGGTTCTTAGTTCTGAGATCCCCTGGCTATACTGCACCTGATGTACACCTTACTCTAAGAAAGCTGAAAGGGTGAGAAGAAGGGGGAGGCACATTTGCCATGCCCTCACCTCTTGGGTCTTTCAGAATGGGACATCCACAGAGACAGTGAGAGACCAACAAGGGAGCTTTTAATCTATCACTGGCCACAGCTGTGCTTCCTTTACTAGGGATTTCTGCCCTGACTTTGTTCAGCCTGACTTATTCCCTCTCATTTTCCCTCAGACTGGAGTCCATCACAATAATGGCTGTCTTTAGTTTACTGGTGGGGGCCCCCTTTCTGTGCCTGAAAGCCCAGGGTGCTCCCACTCCCCAATGCTGCCCTTGATGCACTTGGAAGCACAGGAACACACACAGCTAAACAAAACCCTGCTCATGCTCAGGGCTGTCAGAGGCTGGAGAGACCTTTCCAAACTCAAGGTGCCTCACATGCTCCTTTCCTGCCTCTTCACATGCCCATTTCCCAGCCAGCACAGAAGCAGTGCATGTTCTGAATGGTACCTGGATGCAGAATCTGTACTGTTAGGTGGAAACAGGGTCGTGTTCCACACTGTTTTCAGAAAGGACAGTGAGCTGCTCTGCACTATTGACCATTGCTGGGAAGTGTTCTGACAAGTTCAGTGAGCTGAGCCTCCACAGCAGTCCCTCCATTTGGAAATTGCTGCTCTGAGAGCATCAATCCTGCTCAGTTCAGTGCTTCACATGCTTCCAAAGAGAGCTGGGAGGCAGTGGGTGCAGCATTCACCTGTCCACCAGCCCAGTGGGCTGCTTGGGCTTTGGATGGGTCTTTTGGCTACTGCTAACCAGTATTTCTCTGGTTTCACCATACATAAATTTGCTTTCCTCTGCTAATGAGTCTGGAAGAAGTCTTCCCTTTTCCTTTTTTCAGTCCTACCAAATGTGAAACTCTTCTTAAATACAATTAGCTCTGCATGTAGTCTAGAATAAGCTTATTGTCTAAAATAATTCTGTGCTGCCTTTTGTGGTCAGTTTTACACACAGAAGTTCACAAGCTGTCACCCACTTGAAGGAGCTCAAATTTAATTCCTTTACCATCACAATTTAAACATGGAGATTAAAAAAGTTAGTTTATGTTCAAGTATTAGTGAATAACTTACGATCAGGAAGCAAGCACCAAGCATGACAGCTTTCATTTTCACATCGAGGTCCATTGGGAATGAGATTCCAAAATTATCTGTGTCTGTAAACATTTCCCGCACAATACCAGTCCACTGCTTGGAAATCCTCCCAACAGGACAAGCCTCATCCAGAGACATCACCTAGAGTGTAATATAAAATTTTAAAAAGAATCATCAAACCTGTCTGTCATAATATTCCCAACCCCATTTCAGAATAGATCCATTTAAAAGCTTCAGACTGTTATTTTAATTAATACAGTTATTGAGTGCAAGGGTTTGTACCAAAGGCAATCAGACTATCAGAAAGTTGGTCTAAAGTATCAGAGGCATGAACTTGATTCTGAATTTGACTGGGAAGTTCAGTTCCTTGATGGTGCTGGGATACACACTCTGCTGGAAGTGGTGTCTTTTAGCCAAGACAGTGAATTAGTTTCTCTTGCCATGCATCAGGAACTGCTCAAATGAAAATTAAACAAATTACATTCTTCTGCTCAAAAGCAGAGGTTAGCCCTCTGGCAACATTACATTTTCTAAAGTTAGAACCAGTCTTCTGGGTCATGTGAAAGATTAGCTTCTAAAATAAAATTACATAAATTTGCTATAGTTGCAACATCATTTTAAACATTAAATTGTAGCCTTGTATATCTTTTATTTAATGTCTACAAAAACAATGTTGTATTAACCAATATTATTTTAAAAGGAAAGATGTAAGTCCTCACTTATTCAGCTCTGTATTTCAAGTCTAAATTAACTTACTAGTTCATTGAATGATTATTAGATGATTAAATAAGGGGTTGAAGGAAGTCATTTTAATAAATACCTGATACAGCTTACTATATTTTCCTTAGAGCCTGACATAACAGATTCAAATGATTTTGCTGCTAAATATATCAATTAAGGGATTTGTGTGCAGCCACGGGAATTCTCAGTGATCACTGATGAGTGGCTTTAACATGTAATTTCTGGAAGTTTGTCTGGTTTTTCTAGAGTAATTTAGGTATATAGAGAAGTCATTTGATTATACCAGCATTAAAAGATGATGTAGAAATTATTTAATATATACAATTCAATTGATAGGTAGTAAGTTGAGCAACAAACCAATACCAAACTACTATCTGAAAACAGACACATGGAAACAATTTTTACATTGCATACCTCAAAATGAACGTCCTCACAACACCGGCACATAACACAGGGGCCATTAATTTTCAGAATATCCTTTCTTTTCTCATCCTGAATGGTAAACTTTGGCAGGCAGATGTGCCAGTTCTGGACAACATAACCAACTGTTGTTCCTGGAGGTGCCTGGACTTCCAGCTTCACAGGGAAGAGAAAACCTCCAAGTGAATGATCACGCTTTCATACGCTAGTGAGACAAAACCCACACCAACACACAGATGTAAAACAACCTATTTTTCCAAAACAATCTGGCCTTACAAAGCATTTTGCTGTGAGTGTTTTCAGAAGACCACTCAGATTGCTGACCTCTTATTCAGCTTTTGCCTTCAAGAAAAAAGTAAGAGACTCCTCAGGCTCTGGAGCACACAAACTATGCATCTACAATATAAAGACCAAAGTCCAGTGAAAGGAAGGCAGTGAATATCCCAAAAGCATTCAGTGAAGGCATTATAGGGTGCAGCTACTACAAATGCCTCAGCAGGAGTTCTGAGTAGGCTTAGATTTAGAGTTTCAGAAGTTGTATAATTCCAAAATTATGTTAATATTTAAAAAACCTCATGATCTCCTATGTTGAATGCCACTAGAGCTTTCAGAGATGTAAAATGAAAACCCTAGCTGTCAGTCTATGAAAGCTGTTGCCTTACTGTTCCATTCCAAGTGCAGATTTCAGCACCAGCCACAAGTTCCCCAACATGTTGCTTAGTCAGATTTTTCATTACCCCAATCAGAATTGCCCAGTGAGCCCAAGTGCCACAGCTCACTTCCCTCTTCCCAGACCAAGAACCCCGCGCACAAATCCTACACATCTCTCTTCCCTCACCTTACTGGTAAAACCCTGACTCATTTCATCTCACCTCCTGATTCAAGACAAGGTGGTGCCTGTCTGAGGAGGAGGAGGAGGGCAGGGAGAGGCAGGACTCACCTCCTGCAGGCAGCAGGGGCAGCAGCAGGAGTCGCAGCGGAGGGGTCTGTGCAGCCTTATCACCTCCCGGCCCAGGTTATCAATAATTTTCATGGTGAAGGGCCTGGCGGGCCCACAGCAGTTCCTGGTCATGCAGTCAGTGTCCTCTGCTGCAAAGTAAATCCTCTGCCCCAGGGCGTTCTTCAGCTCGTATTTGTTGTTTTCTTCAAAGTCAGTCACGACTGAAAAATGAGGAAAAACCTGCTAAATTCCTAGGAGGGTCTGGTCAGACAATCCCTGCTCTTTGGGAAGGCAAGACTCAGAGTCTGTCAGAGGGAAATGATGGAAAGGACCCTCAAGCAGTAAAGCCTGATGAAGAAGTTTAAGGGAAGGATGCACCATGAGCAAGGACATGTGGGAAAAAAACTGAGATTCCCATCTGTCCCCAGTGTCCCCCCTGGCCACAGGCACCCGAATAAGCACCACCATTACCAATAACACAGCAGGGAAGGTTCTCAGTGGAGAATTGCATGGATAAGAGTTAAAGAGAGATGTGCATCTGGGGGTGAAGCCTGAAAAGGGTACAAATAAGTTCAGAATAAGAAAGCCACAAAAAACCCTCCCAGTCAAGAATTACAGCAGCACACATCAAAAACGACAAGAGCCAGGACAGAAATTTTAATTAATTTCTATAACAAATGAGAGCACTCTTATAAGTTTTAGAAAGAACCAGAAGGAAAAATGCAGCAGCAACATTAGGGGGTATCTGGGATGTATGGTTAATCTTATTCCTTCTATTTGACAGACATTGATAATACACCTTGGATATTCTTAAACCACAGAATGAGGGGAGCAGAGGGAAAGTCATTCAGTTTGCTAAAACAGCAGGATTGACTGTAAAAGGGATCAAAGCCACATGCCAGTCAATGGAATTAGATGGGAGATGACAAGATAGAATGCAAAATCTTTAACTAAGGAAGAGAATAGAAATCATCGTTAACAAGTAACATTGGAAATGTGTGGCTTCATCTATAATTAGCTATATATCAACTATAGCATTTATAACCCAGATTATTCAATTGCATTGCTGTGTATCTTTTGAGATATGGAACCTGCTGAAAATCTTCTTCCCTCCTGTTTTTCCTTCTTCTCCTCCACTTCTTCAGGACTTCTGCAGGAATTGAGGCAGGTAATACAAGACAGACAAAGGTGGTAATCACCTTAAAAATAGTGCCAAAGAAAGCCTAAACTTCACTGTTCTTGGGATTATTAGATTTAGATACTTTGTACTTACGCTCAAGAACTTCAAGTAGCTGATGAATTAATATCTGGTCAATCTGGTCATGGTTGAAAAATTAAACAGAAGAAACAGTTAACAAGTTATAACTAAAAAAACTGTAGTTTCAAAAACTGCTGTTTCATTATAGAATAAAAATGTATGGATCAATAGACTGTGCAGAGGCAGATTATCTCCGAGTTAAGCTCTGGAATAGCTCACTCCCCTCCTTGGCCTGTCCCCTGCCAGGTTAGCAGTGCTCCAGGGCACTGGAGCTGATGGGGGCAGCTGAACCCAAACTAGTTTGGTGACAGCACACAGGGCTGACACATCTGTGCTCCTGTCAGGGCTCAGAGCCTCAGAGAGCTCTCACATCATGTGCCACAGACTCCACACAGACAAAAGCAGGAAATGGGGGTATTGAGTAGAAGCCCAGCTACTGCTCAGCTCTAAGGAAAATTCAGGGGAAAATCAGCCTCTCCTCACCAGTGCTTTTTTTTTCCCCTTTTTTTTTTTTAACACTTTGCAGAACTGGCTACAATACATCAGTATTAATCTTTCCAGTGCTGAGATGAACTGTATTTTACACTACAAAGACATATTCAGTAATGTGGAAACAATTCTTATTTTGCTATTAGCATTCTCTATGCTGTGAAGTCTGACTGGCAGCTCTACTAACAATATTAAGAGTTGTGAAGAAAGCATCACATAGAAAATTAAGTGCTTCTAATGTGCTAGAGTTTCCCATATAATAGGCATTTATTCTATGCACCTTTCCAAAAGACATTACATCTCCCAAAGAGTAACTTCAGAAATGGGAGGGATGTATGACAGCCCTCTGTCTCTCATCCTTTAGCACCCTACTTTCCAGAAAGATACTCCATGAATAAGTGCTGCATCTCTAACAGGTATCTCTGCATTTAGACAATAGAAAAGGCTCCACTTAGCAGCCCACAGGCACCAGCCTATTCAGTTCCAACATAGCCAGATGCTTTATTTGCTATTTCATGGATGCAGGCTGCTTCCCAGAGCAGAATGCCTCATCTCTGGGCAAGGGGGAAGGGTGCAGGTACCTGTGTGAGGTACTCCAGTCCAGGAGGGCAGTTGGGAATAGAAGGAGGGATCGGCATCCAGATTGTCCCATCCATGGTGGGCTGGCTCTGGACAGGTGGGGGGACAAATCCTCCTGGGAACGCCATGGGCTGTGCCTGGAATCCATAGTTCCCTGCACCTGTGACATTTGGCATGGTAGGAGAGATATGGTCATGAAAGTTAAATGTTGGAAAATAATTGCCCTGCCCATCTTCAAAAGAGTAATTTATTCACTCTTTGGAACTATGGAGATCCTTATACCTTATTTATTTATGTTATGAATACAATAACTCTCATGAAGGGAGTTACACTGCCGTAGGAGGTTCTGATGCCTCACACAAAACCAAACCAAATAAATTTTTAAAAATGCATAGTTCTTGAATACAGAGAAATTTCATTCACATAGAGACAGTCAATTAAAAAAACAGAAATAAATAAATGAAGGTTATTTCTAATTAGAGAAGAAAGAATACTTTAAATTACATTAAAAGCATTGGCATTTATGCACTGTCAGTTGAGCAAATGAGGAATTTTAAAACAGAGTTTTCCTGGAACTATACCTTCTACTTTTGTGAAAGGAAATGTCCTTTTAGCAAAGTTCATCTACAGTTTTCAAGCAAATTGACTTTTAGACTTTCAGCCCACACCTGCTCAGCACCAAATTCCACAATACATTACAACACATGGACCAGTGCACGTGAAAGTTCAGGCAGTGGCCATGGTGCCTCAGGTGATGTAAGGTGGCCACATCACCCACCCCAGGGAAGAATCCCTTGGGCATTCACAGTCACTTTTATGACTGAGCACAGGCTTTTCAAACCAACTACCTGCAGCTGTTGTGGGCAAGTGTGTGCACATAGAATTACTCAAAACAACAATGCCTCTGTGACATCCAGGCACAAGCAGTGAGTGCTTGCTCCCTGCTACAGCCAGCTGTACTTACAGACCCCAGAGTGCCTTGTCCCAGGATGCATAAGCTTTAACTTATGAACAGCACAGTAACTTTGGCCAAACATTTTGCTTTTTACCTCTGACTTATGCTCTGAGCCTGATTGTTAGATATTTACTGTGATTTGGTTCTTCAGAAAGAAATCACTGCCAGAATGAGAGAAGCTGTTCAGGAGAGCTGCATTTTGAAGCGGAGCAGAAAACGAGACAGAAGAGGAGAGAGCGAGTGAGGGAAAGCGTAAGGTGTAACCACCTGCAAAGCACAGCAACAGAGTAAGAAACAGGAACTGAATACATGCAGAACTGCAAGAGAAAAACAATTCTTCACTTCTCTATTTCCAGAGGAAAATAAAGTGAAATACTGAAGTAATATGGTAATTAAAAAGTCTGATTACCAGTAAGAACCTGCTGCACATGAATTGCAATCAGTAACATCCAGCAAACCTGCCTAGCAAACTCCCCACAGTGACCACTGAGGAATACCTGACATTTTTAACTCCTACCACTGCTTAGCACATACTAAAATGTAGAACCACAAAGGAAAGAAATGGCCTTTCAGCAAAACAGAAGTTAAAAGAAACTATAGAATTAATAGCAGAAAAATTAATTTGAGGTGATCACCCTTTTTCAACCCCATATTCCCCATGCTTATTTCCTAATGATCTCACAGATCTGTAACCAAGCCACCCACCTTGGTAAGGCCCAGGGACCTGCTGAGGGGAGCCATAGGGCACTCCAGGTGCTGTGGCAGGTGGAGGTCCTGGAAGAATGAAATACACCCTGAGTATGGATCATATCCTCCTGCCCTGGGTGAAAGATCCCCAGCACTGACTCCTTCTCCAGAGTACACATAGAACAAAATCTAGGCAGCTGTTTTCTGTACAGCAAAAATACACATCAAGATCATATTTATGAGCAATACATGCATAAAAAAAAATAATGGAGTTCTGGTCCTTAAAGCACAGAAAAAAGACAGGTACTGCACAGGATGTCAGGAAGACGTCACAGAATCAGAATTGTTCAGCTGGGAAGGGACCTCCTGAGATCATCTAATCCAAGCAGGGTCAGTTCACTCTGCCTGGAGCAAAGATGCTTTTGTTCATTGCTATTTAGAAAGAGGCTCGAATTCAAAGCATTGCCAGGAACTGACAGCCTGCCTTCCAGTACAGAACATGGCAGAGAGCCATTCCCCTCTGTGGAAAACCTTTTCTCCCAACTTCTTCAAGTTCAGATTACAGTAATGCCTCCATTACTGTAGATGAGGAGTGTTATGGATTTAAAAACATTTACCATCTTCAGTTTTTAATAATAAATAACTTGAATTTCAAGATTGTTAAATTATTTATTGTTTTTGCTTGACTTCAGAAATCAAGATCTAAAAATATATAAGCTCTACATTTTGTAAAATATTTCACTTTAAAATGTAAATAATTTCAGGTTAAAACATTAATACATATTTCATATAATTAGAAAGTAAGCTAATAGCTAAGCTAATATTGCTTGAAAGTGCTGTCTTTGATGTTAGCAAAAGCTGACATTTTGTTTATATTTTACTCACCTTGCATTGTTGTAGATCTGCTTGTAGCTCTGCAAAAGAACGTTTTTGTCTCATGATTTTTAAATATACTTTCACATAAGAGCTATTCAGAGTTCTCTATTATTGATAAAAGATATGTGTCTCTCTAAACTGTATGGGAAAATGAAATTACAATACAAGTAAAAATAAACTTAATCTCAGCTTCCTTCTAGGCTATGTCCCAACTACTACTGAAGTCTGAGTTTTCTAAGCCTACAGTCATGCTTTGAGTATCCTGAAATCATCCTCAACTCAGAAGAGCATTGGGATGTGCAAGACTGCACTGTGCAGCCATTCAGAAATATCCTGTAATTCATATGAACAATTTACTGCAGTAATTTAAGGGCAGCTGGCTCATTGTATTGACATTGCCCACACAACCTGCTCAGGTAAACCCTGGAGCAGCCATGCTGCCACCTATTCAGTTCTTCAAGCCATGCCCTTTCTCTAGTGGTAATACTAAATAACACATATCCAGTATTTGCCTTCACAGGATCACAAACTTTGGTTACCAAGAGAAATAAATTAAAAGAAACAAAAAACAACCAAACAACATAGCCCACAGCAAGAAAAAACAATCAAACAAACAAACAAAAAAACCCCAAAAAACCCACTAAACAATCTAACCCAAACCTAACCAAAATAAAACTACACACAAAAAAACGCCACTTACTGATACCAGCTTAAACCTTGAGAGTTATCTCTTTCTCAGGGGTAATGAGTAAAGCAAGGCAACAGCAGCAACTGGTATTACAGACAGATCCAAGACAGTCAGGAGATCCAAGCATGGAACTGTAAAAAAGAATGGTACGGGCACTAATTGTTAATAGGATTGAAAGCTTTAAAATAAAAAATAAATCTAGTTGTTCTCTAAAAATAATCCATTTCAAGTTAAACCATGAATAAAATGTGTCTGTTAAAGATTCTTCTAACTACTTCATTTCAATGAGGATGGTTGGTCAAAGCCGGGAAGTGAAACTGAAAGCAATTCCTGTTTTTCATTCCCTGAGTAAAAGCAGCTCTCACGGGGCGATGTCTGATGCTTCTGGAATGTTATGCAGATTCAGTTGCTCTTAAACCATTCCTTTTTAATATACTTTTTCTTCTACTTTACTAACTCTACTAGCAAAACCACTGTCCTATTATGCATACTTTAATTGGGTTCTACTCATAGGGTAGATTGGATTGTAGTCACTGTATGAATGGAGGAATATCACAAAGTATAGAAGAATAAAACTAGCAAAAGATCAGTTTATGCAGTGAAATGCTCCAGCAACCTGAACTTCAATGAAATACTGAGAATTACAACTAAACCCCTTGGTAAAGGGAGAGTAGAGACAGAATCATGTGATTTATTTAAAAGAAAGGCTTTGTCCAGAAGCCAGAATCTTTCATTGTCCCTACAACCACACACACCAGCCATTGTGCAATCTAGGATTTAGAAAAGGTTGATATGCTCTGTAGTAGGAAGCAATAAAGATTTTACAAAGCTCAGCCCTCTGAGCTTTATCTGATCACTTTCTCATTTTCAGAACTACATAACACAGCTACATCTCCCTAGCCTGAGGCATGTCACTAAATATGCTGCAAGTAATTCAGACGTGCCATAATTATGTTAATTATAGGCCTTCTACCCTTTATCAGAAAACCAGAATACTAGCACGACAAGTAGATTCATTTCTTTTCCAGCTCACTAAAATGTTGCAAAGAGCACGTTAATGTAATGTAAGCTCCCAAGCACAAACATGCTTAGTTATACAACAAGCCAAGCCCTTTCCAAGATTTCCAAGAAGTTGTAATATTCAAAAACCAGGAAACTGAATAGCAAGGAGGCATGCAATAGTTTTCCTTTTGAGGCTATTTTTTTTTACATTGCATTCTATTAGACTGTTCAGCCCCCGGATATGAACCCTGCCGCTGGAGAAACAGTATGCTTAAAAAATCGTCTCGATGATTTAATTAAATTAGTTGGTTTTAATGTTAAGAAAATATTATTCAGAGAAGGAATTACTCTTTTTTTTTTGCTCGGCTGGAGTAGGATACCCTCTCCCTTACAGTGACTTTTGGAGCTGGGAGCGTCAGTTCCCGGCAGCACAGCCCGCTCCCGCGCGGGGCTCAGGCTCGCCGGGAAGAGTGATGTGCCCCATCCCCGGGCACAGAGACCAGCCGGGACCAGCGATGTACCCCATCCCCGGCACAGGGACCAGCGGTGTGCCCATCCCCGGGCACAGGGACCAGCGATGTGCCCCATCCCCGGGCACAGGGACCAGCGATGTGCCCCGACCCCGGCACAGGGACCAGCCCGGACCAGCCGCTGCTGCCTGGCCCGAGGGGCTCTCCGGGACAGCCCGGGCAGCAGCAGCCCCTCCCCGAGCGCAGTCCCTGCCAGCCCGATCCCTGCTCTACAGGGATCAGTTCTAACCCACCCGCGCTGCCCAGCCGGACACACGCGGGGCTCCCTCTCGGCGGGGCTTTCCTGCCCCAGCCCCGCGGATCGCTGCCCATCCCGTGTGGAAAGCCCCGGGATACCTGACGGGAGTGCCGGCAAGGAGCCCCGCTCGCTAAGGACGCTCCGGTGTGCCCGTGTCCCGCTGTCCCCGTGTCCGTCCCGCCGTCCCCGTGTCCGTCCCGCGCCGCTCGGGGGCTCGCAGCGCTGCGGGGCGGGGAGCGAGGGCAGGGCTGGCAGCAGTTTCCTGCCCGGGGCCCAGCCCTGCCGAGAAACGCTGGTATTTCAACAGCTTCGCTATTCGTGACAGTTACTCTTTCCATGTCCATGGGCAACAACGCTGATTCAGTCCTTTTACAATTAATTAATTAACTCAATTTCTGCCGTTTAGTCAGCAACATCACGTTGCATACACGAGGTAACGCCAAGTTCTATATCCGCCCTGAAAAGAGAACAATTTTATCTTGCTTATAAGGCAGGATCTCAGGAGGAAAAACATACTTATGTGGACTTCATGGTTACAGGAAGAAGAATGTACAACAATTGTTTAGGAAACAAAGGACTTGGGGAAAGTTGGCTCACGCCCTGATTAACAGTTCTGATGAACAGATCTTCTGCATCCTCTTTTGTACATTCATGTACATCAGATTGGAGCTGCTGGTGTCCACGTATCCCAAAGGAAAGTTTCTTCAAAGAAAACTGTATTTAATGTAAACCACATAAATCTGATCACAGTAATTGGTGCATGCATAAAACCCAAGACTGGGGATTCAATAAGTGAAGGTCACCTTGTACATACTCTGTAGTCTTTGTCTTCAACCTCCCACAATAAGGTTTCCATTTCAATATTGAACTTTCCATAAACAATATTAAATTTAAAAAATAAAAACCACCCCAAACTATTGTTCTAGCCTTGCACTGGATTTCACCTAAACACCAGATTTGACAAGGATTTGAGGATTTTATTTTGCTTGTTTCCTCAGGTACAGAAGAATCTAATCTAAAGCTGACTAGCATTTTCCCACACATCTGCACTGAGTCCACTAAGAGGATTAATAGCAGATACCAAGAAATTGGTTTTACACATCTCTTAAGAAATAGGTATAGAATTATTTTGACAGGGTTGGAAAATTAAAAATACATGGAAGCTTTTGATACTACCCTTCTTTCTTACAGGAACATAGCATAGTTATATTTAGTTTGGTTCAGACTTATACACTGAAATTCAAATTGTATTGCCCAAGCAAACATGAGTTTTTGACACAGAGATGAACAACATTTCTTTGATGAGAATATCATTGTTCTACCGGAGAGAACAAAGGTAGCAGCATATCTCTTCCTTTCCCATGTCTATAAGTAGGGAAAAAACTTATTCACCTGTAGTGGCAGAAAAACGATGCCATGATTCACAAAATACAAAGTAATTTATCAGTCTTTCCCAGATCAAATAATGTCTTTTCTTATCTAGCTAGGATCATTGATGTAACTGACAGTCAGTGCTTTTCTCTTAGATCAGGGGGTGGAAATGTTCAGTACCTTTTATTTTTGTCCAGTGTGCAGATTTAATCAGCAGGGAAATGCCTAAAATATTAAGAAAGAAAGTTGGAATTGTTTCAGGAGAAATAAGAAAATGACCATGCTCCTAGTAATTTAGTCTTTTAGGTTTAAGCATGTTCACCTGAAAAGAAACATTCTTTGTAGATTCTTGACCCTGATTTCTAGGATTTCTATGTTGCTTATGGTCTGGATATTTCTACTGCTTTAAGTTCTGATGCTCCTGATGTTGGCTCCTCATCTGGTCCTGTGGTGCCCAGCACCAGAAGTGGGACCAGTTCCCACACCAGCTTCTCATGCAGAGGTCTCCAGTAACCTGGAGTTGGGGTGATGGACGCAGCTCTCATCTCTCTTGCTCACATTCCCTCACCAGCTTCTTTTCTCTCAGTGCTCAGGCAGGACATCTCTGTGAGGGGACACAGGAGGAAGTTCATTTCACTCAGGGCTGTACATGAGAGCAAACAGCCTTTAGGCAGCTCAAACGCTGTCTCACCTCATTTAACCTCAGGCATGGCATTGTTTGCACTGCTGAAGGAAATAAAAGTGGTTACCAGGGTGTTTGCCTCCCGTGCCTGTGGACACAACCCCAACAAAAGGCTCTCTTCTCCAGTGTTTATAATCTGGAAAGCAAACCTGGAAGAGCAACAGGCATGGGAGATGAAGAGAAAGATAAGCTGAGAGTAGTTGTTGTCTTTATAGAAAAGAAATAGGATGTGAGGTTTGAGGCACAAACTTGAGGGGGCTACCAGGAAATAAATTAAAAGAAAGAACAAAAGAAAAAGAAGGAATAGAGGAGAAAGAAAGAGGGAACAAAGGAAAAGAAGATTCCTCTCAGTGGCAGGCCAGGAAAAGCTCCTGAGCTGCACTGGCTGGAGCTCCAGCCATGGGGTGCAAATTTCTTTTTTCTGCTGTTTGCCATCCTTCACTTGTGCACATTTTGGGAAAAACTTTAACTGTAAAAATGATAATTCCTTTATCTTTAGCTTACAGTACTTAGGCTGCACTCACATGTGCAAGTGGTTATCTTATCCTTAGAAACTGGGCCTCAGCAATGCTGCTGGAAGGTGATTTAAACATGCAGAAGAACTGGCAGGAACGTTTAGCACGTCTGTATGAATTTGGGGAGATGAAATGAGTCTGAATCATTTACACAGGTTTAAACTCTGTTCTCTAGCTATGGTGTGGGGGTTAGGCAGAGAGATCCCCCTCATGCCCCGTGCTGAAAATAAAAGCGATTCCACTTTCTGATGCTGAAATTACAGTGTTAGTTTTATTCCCAAATTTGATGACAAAGTGATAATGACCTGATACAATTTTCACAATATTTAGAACTTGCTTGGAAAATTTACATTTTAAAAGACTGCCTCCAAATAACTATTCACATTTAAGGAGTCTTCTCCAGAACCAGTAAGTTATTTTCCTTTTTTCCATTTATACTATATTTAACATCCAAAGTAGTAGTGGTTCTGAAAGCAGGTAGGCAAATAATGCAATGTTCTAATAGGCAAAATCTACATTTTAACACTGCATGATGAATCTAGCATGAGCACACCACCAGTGTGACAGACAGGGTGTACAGGCAGTAAAAGGCAGTTTAAATCCAAGCATTTAAAAAAAGTACATAAATTGCTATTCTTGGCATTAGTGTCACTATTACTTTTAGTATTTCTTTGATGTGGAACTGGGGAAATGGATTCCACCCTGCTAACACTTGATAGGCATCTGACATCCCCTGAATCTCAGTGTAGCTCTCCTTTTGTCTTGGTAGTTAATAAAATATGCATTCATGAAGCCAGAAGAAGCAACTAACACATCATCTCTGTATTAAAGATTTGCAATTGAGAAATTGCAAACAGGTCTATTCACTTACTTGACTTCATTTAACAATGTCAAGTCAGTCATCAAGCCTGCAGTCTAACAAATGAGGGCTAGGTTTTCCTTTGAGAGTGAAACTGGGTGAAAATGGGTTTAGTATTGTAATGTTTTAGTTAATTCAGCATCCAGATAACATCAGTGGACAGTTATGACTTCCAAACCACATAAAGTAGCATCCCTTATATTTTTATGTATCCTGGGGAGCAGCATCTCCCCCTGTGCTGTTTCCAACAATTGTAATGATCCCTCACAGAGGAAAAGCAATTCCCGCAGAGCTGTCAGCTTCACCATCAGTCCTTCCTCAAGATACTCCAACATGAGGGGAAAACAACAACTGAACAACAATGGAAGCAATACCACACACTTGGTTTTGCTACTGAATGTTTTTGCGCCACAGCAATCTCCTTCTCAGCCTGAGAAGGGAGCTAAATAAAGTTTTACTGCTGCCAGTCATGCAAGGTTTTGAATGTCAGCGCTGCAGATGAACCACCATAAGCTGCTTTGCAGTTGGAAAATGGGATATTGGGAGGAAAAGAGCAACTCAACATAAAGAAATAGGCCATTACAGTTTATAGCATTTAGGATTAACTGTGGTACCAACAGTTTAAAATGCAGCTTGTGTAAATCCTGTTTTCTGCTAAAGGGATATTGCTACTGCAAACAGGTACTTACAGGGAACATTTTCCTAGGCATGAATTTGTTCCTAAAAAGTATAAATAATACCAGCCTAATTAATGAAATACTCCAAAAAATCAAGTCAGGACAATCCCATCCTGGGCAAACATCCAGCTCTCTATGTCAAGGCTGGCACTCTGAACTCCCAGGCTGCTCAGTTATCTTTGTGGTTTTGGAGCAGAAGTGCAGCCAAGTTCTTTCATTTAAGCACTGATGCAGGCGAAACCGAATCACACAGCAGCAGTGAGATGTCAGTGGTCCTTGAACTCTCCCTCCCTCCAATGCCTTTTCTCACAAGCACATACCATGTCTGGATGGGATTCACTGGCCAAAGTGCTCCAGGGCCAACATTCCTGCACAACTGTTACTGGAATCATAGAAAGCAGCTATGGCAGGACACCACAGCCTTGAGCTGACACTCCCCTTTGAAAATGAACATAAAACAAGGAAGCCTGTAAGCAGCAGCCCCCTGCCATGGTGCACAGGGTACCAGGAATCCCCCTGCTCCCTTTGCCCATCCTGCTCACCAGTCACACCTCTCTGAGCACAGCAAAGAATGTAATGCAGCACTCAGCCCAAACACTTTTATCAACAAGAGGACAAATAGAGAGAGCAATGCTGATACACAGAACCAGGCTGAGGAGAGGATGTTTTTAAAACCAGTGAAGTCCAAGTTAATGTGTTTCATAACAGACTCATCTGATAGAAACATACTGGAACCTTGAGGCTTCTGTTAATTAAGAAGATAATTAAAAAGTTGTAAATGTAGGACCACTAGATCTGTAAGAGTTTATGAGGTGAATTTACAGCTCAATTAAGAATGAAAATTGAGGAAGCCCAGCACTAGGCACTGCTTCTTACACAGACAGCTGGGGGATTTCAGGGAGGAGAAAAGATAGGAAAGGGAAAATGGAAAATATTTACATCAGATATAAATCCTGTTCAATATTAAGACTTAGTCACCCATGTCAGGTACTGTAAATTCTTTCCTCACACTGATTCCCTGGGATGTGGAATAATCACACATGAAGAAATTGCTCATCAAGGCAGTGAGCCCCATGCTCAGGCCAGAGCCACTTCCCAGAAATCCTGAGCACAACTTTCAGGAGGTTCACATTTAGTCCTATTATTTCCTAAATCAAGTTTGCCAGATTTGTTACTCCCAGCCCAGAAGGTTTTTCTCCCTTGTTGCTGTATCATGCAGTATTATAAATTGTGTTTGCCATCCAATCTTTGATTCAATTCTTTAGTGTAATTGAGCTGCTGGTTGTTAGTGATCAGGCTGTTACAGACGCCCTCTCCTCACTTCTCCTCTCCCTTTAACCATGTCCCTGCTGGCAGGGCAGCAGCAGCAGCACATCCACACTGCCTGTGCTGATGGAGGGAGCTCCTGGCCAGGCTGGTGCCTCCCTTCCAGCTGTGCCAGCTGTGCTGTGTGCTGCCAGAGGGGACACACCTGCAGCCAGCCGTGCCCAGCTGCTCCTGCACTGCTGCAGGACCCAGAGTGCCCCTGGTTCTGAGAGGTCCCACACCCTGCACTTGCAGCTCCTGCCAGCTGGATGGGATAAGGGGGCCTACAAAGCCTGTGCAGGCAGGCTCTGTGAGTTTCTGGAGCCAGTATGTTCCTGAAGCAGGTTTTCAAAATTGAAGTAAAAGTCTTTTTCACACTGGTACTTACAATTATTCCACATGGTTCTCTTTCAGTGATCTTTCCCAGAATTTCAGAGCATGTGATTTCTGCCCAATTAGATCTATATTAGCATTAATCAGCGTTCTCTACGGCTTTACAAGAAATGTTTTACAGTATTTCTAGTTATTCTTTCTGAACTATTAATATAAAATACTTGCTGTTAGAGCTGTCTACAGTTGCATGGGACTCATCTGACAGAAGGCCTTATGACCTGATCCAAACCCTAACATTTATTTTATCAGGCTTTCATCAAAACCCTGTGGTTTTAATGCTTCACTGAGGTGCTGGAATTCTAAACCCTACAACATCAACCATGACTGCAGTTAAGATGATATATTTGCTTTATAAATCAGACACTGAACAAAGCTATTTAAAAAATTTACTTTCTGGGACATCATGGGAAAAGAGAGGAATCTGAAACTTTTTTTTTTTTTACTACCTCTGCAATGATTTAGCTGCTTCAGGAGTGGCTTCTATTTCAGTTTATTATAATGGTTTTAGACTAAAAAGTTCACCAAGAAAGCTACTACATATTTGTAGTAATAAATACATATAGTGCTCAGCACATCAATGCTCCATGAGGCATTTTGCAATTCTGCAGATTTTCTTAAGCATTTTTTCTGTTAATCATCTCTTATCAGTTACATTCCTGAAGTACAAGATAAAAGAACATTATAGGTTGAACAGATCAGCAATGCAGTAAAGAATTATGACTACACCAAGCAGGATCACCAAGCTTACTTTTAGCAAAAATCCATAACTCTTTTCCACTGAGAATGTATTTGTAAAGACCGTATTAGATTTCGCTTCTGATTGAAAACATTCATTTACTCTTAGAAATATCTTATTCTCCTTGTGTCCTCCCCCAGTCCCTGCTAATTTTTGTTCCTATACTCTTTCCTTAGCTCATGTTACCCTGATTTTGCAGGGGTTTGTTTCCATCAGACTTCTCCTCCTCCCAAGCTCCACAACTATTTACCCTTCCCATCTGACAGGGCTGAGGGTCTTACCCAGGGTGGTGACAGCTCAGCTAAAACCTCATGTTCAATGGAACCACTCAAACACAGTCCTGGCAGGACAGAACTGAAAAAGACCACAAGAGTCAAGATAAACCATTTTATGGAGCTGTTTCAAATAAGTGTATTAGTTGGGCCATGCATCTATCATTGTTATGCCCCGGCCATAAAACCACACCTCTTTATGACAACAGCAGGTTGTATGGAAGTCCAAAGCATAAACTTACTGGAGGAGGGAAGTTCATCTGTTGATAAAATACAAGTCTTGAACAGAACACCTGGTCCCACTGGCTCCAATCACTGCAGCTAAAAGCAAACAGTTTCACCTTACAGAAGTTTTTGTGGATCACATGCACGTACTTTATTTAGGTGCCACGCCTGCTGGCACAGATGATCTTGGCATATCAATTGCTGCTTCTGTGCCCTTACAGAACAAAGTATTTGCCAATGACACACCTGCCTGTTTGCACAAGGGCTTCTCTCCACTGCCCTGCCTAGATTTAATGTCTCTTGTCCTTATTTGATTGCTCTGAAACTTCCACATCATCTCCTCCCTCACTGTTTGCCATTATTGAGCAGAACAGGAGAAAATGTACCCATTAACCTTTTTCCTCAGCAGCAAGGACAGGGCCACCACACACCTCATGCTTGTAACAGTGCAAGAACTGGCTTTGTATAACAATGATGAATACTGAATGAGCATCCACAGCAGACAAAAAACATATCATGACCAATCTTGCAAATCAGCAAAAGGAAAAAAAAACTTCTTTGATCTTCTCTTAGGCTCAATTAGGAAAGGGAAGTGATCAAACTGTGGGTCTGCAGACTTTGCAAGAGCAATATCCACCATGTCAAGGAGGGTGAAATACACTGTACACCCTAATTCTTGGTGGTATTTCACTCTTCTGTGAGTTTTTATTTCATTTTGTATCAGGCCCTTGAGAGTCTGAAAGCAATAAAACCAGAGATAAAACTCTTCCTAATAGGGAACCATTTAATTAATTTATTTATCAAATTGTTCATTTAAGTAATGACCCACTTGTCCTGGCTTCTGCTAAACTTGTTTTTATCTCAACTGTTGCATTTTCAGAGCATTGAAGTGATGCTGCTCTCATATGGTAGGCTTACTTAAGTGAAAACATTTCAGAATCAAAGATTTAAAACTGTCTAAACTCTAAGGAGTTTCTTGGTTTAAATACTAATATTTTTTAAAGTTCTTTGAATTTCAAACCACAACATTTTTTAATTAGTCTTATTTTAAAGGGTTCCAAACACAGTGTTTGGCAACCCAGACCTGGGCAATGCCAAAGGCTAAAGAATGCACCCCTTGTGGGTCTTTAGCCAGCTGTTCTGAGCCTTAATCTACAATTATTTGGAACTAGAGATAGAAGATTAAATAAACAAATTCTACAATGATTTGGTTTGCAATGGACTTAAAGCTCATCTTGTTCCAATCCCCTGCCATGGGCAAGGTCACCTTCCACTATCCCAGGTTGCTCAGAGCCCCATTGAGCCTGGCATTGGACACTTCCACAGATGGGGCAGCCAGAGCTTCTCTGGGCTACCTGTGACAGGCTTTACCACCTCACAATAAAGAATTTCTTCCTTGTAGCTAACGCAAACCTGCTCTTTTTCCATTTAAAACCATCCCCCCTTGTCTTGTCACTACACACCATTGTCAAAAGTCCCTCTCCAACTTTCATATAGCAACTTTAGGTACTGAAAGGTGCTGTAAGGTCTCACTGGGCCCTTCTTTTCTGCAGATTGAACAGCCCCAGCTCTCTCAGCTTGTCATGGAAATTCCTCTGGATTATTAATTATTAAAACATTATTTAAAAAAATCTTTTCTTACTCTTATCCTATACACTCAACATGCTATCCTATACATAATAGTCAAAATATCTCCCCTGGATTTGCAAAGTAAATAGGACTTTTTAAAATAAAACAGTATTTTGACACTTTGGGTTCTTCAGGGAGCCCAGAAGAAATATTAAAAAAAAAATGCTCAAAACTTTCTCTTGAATTCTAGAAAAGTGTGAAATATACAAGGTATTTATAGTAGTGATCCTTGTTCTGATCCCAGGCTGCATTTCTTTTCTCAGTTCTTGCTGGTATAAATGGACATTATTGTGACAGCTGCTTAAAAGACACATGGATAGAAAACTAATACAGTCATTATGTCCAACATTTACCCAAGGTCTGCAAACAATCCAGAGATGACTAAGAAAAGACTTTTGATGCAATACTGGACCTTGACACATGCACTGTGATATTTCCTTTAGGACCTTGGGCAACGTGGTACAGTGAAAAGTGTCCCTGCCCATGGCAGGGAGGTGGAACTCAGTGACCTTTCAGGTTTCTTCCACTCCAAACCATTCTGTGATTCTATGATCTGGAGGGGGCAGAAAGAGAAAATGCCCATGGTCATTTCTAGACAGAAACAGGTGTTCCTCACAAAGCACTGTCTGTAACAGAAGGTTGCAGGATGTTTCGTGGTTTGGTTGTTTCTATGTATGGGTTTTTAATACAAAACACCAGAAGTGTAAATAGAGCACTTACCTAATGTGACTGGAACAGAGGAAAACAAGTCCTTCAAATGAGTATCTTAAAGTGGAAAAGCACATCAAGTAAGTGAGTCCTGATGAAATGACTTGCAGGTAATTTTTCCTTCAATACTCACCTTGAGTTGAATTAAACTAGGATTCATCATTCTAACACAGAACATACCACTCTAATTTAAAATAAACCAATACAACAACTGAGGGTCAGAAGGAGGAAATTTCTTTTTTTTTTTTTTCCCCCAAAACAGCTTCATTTAGACAACTCTATTAGAAAATGTGCATTTTGGATCATTTCCAGGTTTGTCTAATCCAACAAATAACCAAATTGACACAAAAATATTTTTTTAATACAGACAGCAATGCCTATGAAGAGAAGTACTTTTGCATGCACCAAATTAGCAGACAACCAAAGAATCTCAAAACTTACAGTGACTCTGTGTCTTCACTCTCTGACAGGAAGTGCCTGATCTTCCCATGGGCAAACCAACTTCTGCCCACGTGCTGGTGCCACCTGGGTTTGTGGCACTACAGGGATTTCCCCCACTCTGCCCCAGCAGAAACCTTTTCCCATAGAAACCTTTTCTAGGTACAGCACCACACAGCACTCTCCTTTATACATGGCACCTTCTGTTTCTGCAGATGGGGAGCGTCCTGGGGCTGGGGCTTCTCCCCTGCCCACCTGCAGAAGCTGGAGAGATGCTCCGGGTGCAAAAAACTAGGCTGGGTACTGACCAGAGGAGCTCATTTTGTGGTAGACTGTATTCTGCCCATGCCCTGATCAGATCTCATAAAATAACGATCAGTTCAGCTGTAAATGCAGGCAGTAAAGATAATCCAGTATTGTGTGGCAAAGGTTTAATAGCAGACAGAGAAAATAAAATCCTTCAGTTAAGAGTAGAATCTAATTGGAGGTTAAAGGTATGTTGAACTTCCATCAGCATCCTGGGTGAAAAAAGGATGATGTGTGAAAAGTTAAACACTGTCACAATGAGCTGTTGCTGCCATCTACTGAACACAAGGAGTGTGAACTACACAGATTTACAGTTTGGCCACTGATCAGAAATATTTGCTTTGCTGGATGAAGTAAAATTTCCGTTTCTTTAGAGCAATCACGTTTTTTTCTAGATGATATCCAGGACATGAGTTTGCTTTAGAAAAACTTTGTGACCCTTTGGGAGATTCTGGATTCTCCTTTGGGACCCACTCCTAGCCTATGGGGGAACTGTGAAAAGTGAGCATATAGCTCCAATAACATGAAACATACTGCTATTAATAAGAAAAAGTTATTATTTAGAGATACAGGTTATTAAGATCTTAGAACACATTAGATCTTCTTTAGCAACATCATGCAGAATCCATGCTGAGGATGGATCCCTGCCCTGTGTGACAGCTGTGGTTCAGATGAGTGATCTCCCAGCTGGAAAAGCACTGGCAATGGCACTGAATTTCCACCAGCATGCTGAAGGGTGGCACAGAGGGCAAGCAGCCTGCTGAGGGAGTTCTAAGCACCAAGAGCTGTCCCAGCCCCACTGCTTGTTTTATCGAGGGGATGAGCCTGTTCTTGCATGCCCCAAAAGCTGCCCCTGAGTGTAAACAGAGGCATTCAAACATATTCATATACATACACATTAACAGCAAAAATCCTTTGTATTAACACAAAAAACAGCAACAAAGTCACTGTGAGAAATCCCATGTTATCATCTGGTTGGAATTAATTGAAAATTATATGCACATATTGCTTACCTACAAAGTATATACATGGATGCTCACAGCCAAATTCAGCCCTGTGGGTAAATAAAACCTTATTTTGTGTTGGCTTCAATGAGGCTGGACACATTTGCTTAGAGACATCTTTGGCTTGTAAAGGGCCACAAGAGGACTAGAAATTTCACGGGAAAAGTGGAAGATGGGTGGGGATTCTGCTCAGCTTAAGGCAGTGAATTCAGTCGAGTGCTCAGCCACACACAGCTCAGTAACACTGCACCACAGCCAAGATTATGGGCTACAACAGCAGTGACTTCTGTCTAAAATGGCAAAGGGATTTAAAGAGAAAAAATAATCTGGTTCTTTTTCTCAGTCTACAGTCAGGCATGTGGGAGCTGCATTTGACAGAACAACACCAGTGTGAGAACAGCAAAAAGCATCCTGCATTCCTCTGCAAATCCTGTATTCCTTTGCAAATCCTGCATTCCTCTGCAAATCCCGGGATTTCCACACGAGGGAGCTTCTGGCCCACGAAGCTCGCAGGGCGCTTCCTCCCGGGAAAGGTGGCAGCAGAGATTCCCCGTGAGCTCCCAATTCCTGCAGCCTGATTTCACTGCCACGAGCCACAGCGAGAGCCAGCAGTGAAATGGTTAACAGATAATGATGATTGTCAGAGCTTGTTAACCACAATTATTTTCAAGACATATGTAAATCTGTATAAATACCTAAGTGTGGTATATAATCTAAAACATACTGTTTAAATCTATAAGCATTCCTGAGTTAATTTCACTATGGGAACGTTAGTTGCAACTTCCTGACTTCACTGTGTTTGAATTCATATCCATGAACATTAATTTAAAATTAGTCTAAATATTTGTTGAGAAGTAATCACCTGATAAATTTAGCTCTTTTTCATTTTTATGAATTATTCATTATCTCCTCTCTTTCCGTTGATGTGTTGCTTGTTTTCAAGAATTGAATTACTGGTTGACACTAAAAAAAAAATTTTAAAAATTCCAGTATTTCTAGTGATTTGTGAAATGTTCCCCTTAGAAACTTGACTGGTGACTATGAGAGCAATTGGGTTTGCCACCAATATTTTATGGTACTGGTTTGCTTCTTGAAGGGAGTTTTTCAGAGACATAAGCAAGTTCATACAGCAAATAATTTGCAACAACAGCAAAAAAATCTGTTTATGTCTTGCATATATACCATTCCTACAAAGGAAGCTTGTATTAAACAAAAGTTGGTGGAACTGTTTGGGAACACTGAGGTGTGGCTGCAGGAATGAACAACCATGTGAAACTGCTGAACTGTGAAAAGCTCCTTCTGCCCAGTCATCATAGAAAATACCTGAGCTTGCCAAAGGAAAAGAATAATTCTATTCCAGGATGGCCTCAGGCAAGTCTGAATGAGAAATTACCAGCCACCAGATATTACAAAGAGGAACAAACCTTTTCAGGAAAGCCTTGAGCAGATGGCAGCAAGGATCCTTAACCCTGGCTGGTACAAAGGGAAGGGATTTGTGAGCCTCTAGCACACAGAGGACCATCACCCAAACTTCATCTATGGCCTGCCTTCAGTGCAAATAGTGGAAGACCAGATTTTCAGAATAGGGCTTATATTCCCAAGTCTAGGGCTGGAAGTCCAACTTCTGGCTGCCACTCATTAAAACAATCTATGTCACAAAATTAATTTACTAGCAAACAAAACTTCCATTCTTCCAACTCACTGAAACAGATAACATCTTCAGCTTCCCATCGGGAATGTCTTTATATTTGTTACTTTCAAATCAGTTTGCTACTATTAATTAAATAACAAATCAGAAAATTACTTCTAAAATTATAAAAAAGCAAAACCCCCAGAACACACCCTCATGTGGTTAGAAACTGGTACCAGCACTTGCAAAACATCAAAGGCTTCTCTAAACTTAGGCTTTCATCAGTGATGCTGCAAGCCTTCATCTAATCTTTCATGATTCCCCATGCAGGAACATCAAAAGAGAAAGAAGAGAATAGCACTGTTCCAAAGCAACAGTGCTCTGTGTGAAAAGTATGTGTTTAGCTATTACACATAAAAAATATAAGTGGGAAATTATTATTTACATGAGACATATTTTAATAAACATCATCATTAGCTCCCTGTCTTTTCCTATAAGGAACAAGGATTTTTGCAGTTCAAAATCATGTCCAAAGCTCAAGCGATTTCTGGAAGAAAATGAAAAAGAATTAGAAATGTATAAGCCTTCAAAGCAAGAAGATCAATTTATGTTCATTTTTACCTACTGAAACAGATTCTGCATATTTCATTGTTTCTGTCATCTTGTTATAATCCGTCCAAAGAGTTTTCAAAGAACATTAAGTCCTACAAATAAACAAACTATGCATTAGATACGGAAGGCACAAAAATGCAAAAATTACTATCAAAAGTCTTACTTGCAGGCTTTTGTTACATAAAGTATTTATATTAGTCAATCGCTTTTTATCACTGCCACTGAGAAACAGTTTTGGAGGGGGGAATCTGAAAATCTTAAATGTCATTTCTATGCTACTAAAAGCAAAATTTCTGAATTGTTGTTGGAATTTTAAAGCAAACACTTTTCAGTGAATAATTTAATCAGTATTATAATTTTGGTTTGTAGTCTCTGATGAAAGTATCAGAGATTATTTTGAAACCATTTCATTTTAATACAAATATGTTGGCAAAAGAGCTACACAGCAAATATCAATTTCTAATTCTAGAAAACATGCATCTTAACTTCATATTTACCCCTAGCGCTGAGTATTCTCCTTCTCATATAGTTCTTATGGTTATCTTCACAAAAGAATTTTGTAGGAATTTTCCTATGACCTGAAGGTCTTACATACAACACTCAACAGAATTGTTGAATTGCTTTGAAATTACCATTAGAAACAACATAATCTTTTTTTTTTGGTGCATACACTTGTTCAAACACAATAAGGGGTTTGGGAGAGTTTGATAGGTTTGAAACGTATGCTGAGATTTGATTCTGCCATACAAAATATTGAACTGCATGTGTAATACTATTTAAAAAGTTTAATTAACAAAAATTTAGGAACATTAAAAAAAAAGCCGACATAAAAATTAAAATGTTTTATTTAATTTATGTTTTAGGCACTGGATTTGGTTTTCCAATGCATTTGCATTTTTATGATGGCCCTGACAGCAAGGGCCCCTCTGTCCCCAGTCTGCACATCTCTATAGCTCTGCCTGTCCACCTGCACACTTACAATGAGGAAACATGCACCAATCATGACTGCCTTGATCCTCACGTCGAGATCCACAGGGACCTGGATCCCAAAGTTGGCGGTGTTGGTGAAGACGTTGTTGACAAATCCAGACCAATACTTGGAAATTTTGCCGATCGTTGTCATCTCATTGAGAGTTTTTACCTGCACAAAGGAAAAACAGGAACAGACATAAATGTAAACAAATCAAGTGCACACTGATGACATCTCCACAGAATTAATGACTGTGTCCTGACATGCTGAGTATGCTATAGTTGTCAGCTTCTCCTTTTATTGTTATTGCTGCGATGTTCTATTAGTGTCAAATTTCTCTTTACGAGTGGCACGCAAGGAAGGGTCTCAAGTTTGGAAACATCAGCATCTTTAGAGAGGACAAAAAGTGGGAGAAAGCAGTCTTGAAAGTTTATGCCAGTTTTGCCTTTCTTTCACAGAGTTGTGGCGTTTTTTCCTCTCTCCTGTTTTCTACATTCTCCTAGGCCCACTGCTGTGGACCACTGTCCTCTCAGGGTCAGGCATGTTCTCAATTATGCAATCATTTGCATGTTTCTTACAGTATACTGAAATTTCAGACAATACTCACTGGAGTCTTCTAATTTAGCTAATGAGTTAGTAAGTTGATAAACCCAAAAATTCCTTTATGATTCTTAACTAAAGCAAAGCACTTTGTTCACATCAGAAAACTCTATTCAGGGTTTCTTCAAGTCTCTCCCATTCTCCCTCTCACCTGAGAAATTTATTCAAAGTAGTAAAACTTTTAAATTGTTGACACTTGCACAAAACATACCTCGAAATCAACATCTTCAAAACAGCCACAGGTTGCACATGGGCCAATTATTTTTAGCACATCTTCTTTGCTTTCATTCTGTATAGTGAACTTCGGCAGAAAAGGATCCCAGTTCTGTACAACGTACCCAGCTACTGTACCTGGTGGGGACTGAACTTCTAACTAGCAAGCAAAGAAAACAACAAAAAATGGTTTTAGCTGATTTTATATTAATGTATTTTTCTGTGATAGTGTATTGTTTATAAAATGACAAGATAAATATCTACTCAATATAATAACATATCATTTTACCAAACATGGAACTGGATATTGCAGAACTGTCTAAGGGTGTTATTAAATACTGTGGACAATATAAAACTCAAAAGCTGCAACAGAATCCAACACCTTACATACAGTAAAAGGCTTTATAAAAGCTATAAAGGGGGAAAAATTTATTGTATTCAGGCAGTATCCTACAAGCTTATTTTAAGTAGCTGTACTACCAAAGGACCTTTTCTTTAAAAATCCTGACAAGGATAAGTGCTAAGAAGGTAAGTGGATGAGCTAACCTGTAAAACATTTTCTTAACACAAGCAAGATGTCTGAATAAAGGAGAGCCAAAAAATACAAAGGTAAGACCTGATGCTCTATGGGATTCACATTTTTCACTCCAAGCAGCTTACTTCCATGTTCTGCCATTTCCCAGAGATATATGGCCCTGAAGAAACAGACCTTCAAGGGCTCAGCCTCCTCAGAGATCTGCTTCCAACTCCCACCCCTGACCCCAGTGGGCTTCACAGAGTTTCCATCCTCCAACCTCCTGAGTTCAGTGGGTGATCTCTGCCTGTGTCAGTGCAAGAAGCGTCCTGGGGCGTCAGTTCACTGGAGAGACATCACCAGACACCAAAGCTTTGTGTGGGGTGTCAGCAAAGCCAGGTCCCACGGAAGGGAGGAGGCACAGCCAGGTCCCATGGAAGGGAGGAGGCACAGCCAGGTCCCACAGAAGGGAGGATGGAGGAAGGGAGGGAACAGAACTCGTTCATCAAGAGTTGTGTCCACCCAAAGGGGGCTGTGAATTCCTGACTTGCTCCCGGCCACCCTGGAGGAGCTGCCAGCGAGATGCTGGCACAGAGGGCATTGGGGATGCCCTCACCTCCTGCAGGAAGCAGGGGAAGCAGCAGCTGGTGCACCGGAGGGGCCGGATGACGCGGATCACCTCGCGGCCCGCGTTGTCCGCAATGCTGATGGTGAAGGCCCGGAGGGGCGAGCACAGCTTGCGGTCAAAGCAGCTGTTCTCTTCCACTGCAAAGTAAACCCTCTGGCCCAGGGGGTTCTTTATCTCGTATTTGCTGGAGGTCTCTGTGCCAAGTATGGCTAATAAAGCAAAACAAGTAGAAGGTTAACATAATAAAATCTTTGTTATTACTTCAGTATAATGTTAGTGTGTATATATGTGAGCATTTATTCTAGTAGTCTATGACAAAGGTTTTTTTCAAAATTGTTTTGAAGTAGCAACACAAAGGAAATATGCAGGGAAATAATAGTGCCAGGTCTGTATTTTGAAGGAATTAATTCAGACTTTGATTTGCTGTACACTAAAGTACGTACTGCAACAGAGAATTCAGATCTTGAGTTTTTGGTCTGGGCTTTTTCTGGCATTATCATCTGCGAAAGGTAACATCCTGAGACCCCACCTCAGTGACAAAGCTTTCACCCAGCAGGTTGTTTGAGAGTCAGGCTAAAACCATTCTGAATGGGAGAAATACATTCTACAGTATTTTACTGGCAGTAAAATTTTACAGTATTTAATACTTGCTCATTACTTTGAAATTCTGAGAAACTAAATAATTATAAAATCTTTTGCTAAATTTTATGTTTTCTGACCTTTGTTTCTCTCTTTGCTTTGTTTCTCATGGTATGTTAATGATTGTGAGATAAATTTTTCCATTGAAAGATGGTTAAGCTTTAATAACACTGAGAGGGAGTTGTCTGAGGGAGTGATTTTACGACTGTTGTATAGACTACTCACCCCTCAGTGGTTTGCTGCAGAACAGACAAACAACAAAGTGAGCCTTCCCCACCCTATCATCACATAACAGCCTGACACAGGGCAGCAGGAGGGTTCACAGGGACTTCAGTGAGCTGGGGGCAAGCCTTGGATGGCTTTTGGGGACACCCCTGTACCAGCACTGTTAAAGGGTGACAAGGATTGCACCATACCTTCCAGAAGGTCCACTTGCTGATGAATAATTATCTGGTCCAGCTGCTTAAAAAAAATAAACAAGATGGTGAATCTTGGATAAGTCTGGGGCTGCCAGTGGTCACATGTTTATTTTTATTATTCATCTACCTGTAATTAAAATCTCTTTCCTTACAGAGGTGTACAGGTTGGGTGCCTGAACGATATCTCAAATCACACTTTAGACTTCACTCAAATTATGGCTGAGGAATGTCAGATTAGGTGCTGTGGCCATGTAATTCATCCACACACTCGAAGAAAACTAATCTTCACTGGGGGAATAAGGCAGACAACAGCAACAGGAAGCAGAATCCACTCTTGCTCCTGTTTCTCTCTGTGTCAGAGGGGAAGCTCCTCACCCCAAACCCAAATATATGGGCACCATGGCAGTGCAGGAGTGAATGAGCCTGGGCTCAAGCTCAGCATATGCAGGGGCCAAATCCCAAAGGACGTTGCTGGAGCAGCCCAGCAGGGCAGGCAGGGGATGCCAACAAGGGCACACACCAGCTTTAATGCTCTGATCTCAGGAACACGAGCCCTGCACCCTGAATCTGGCAAATGGTCATGCCAGAATACCAGAATGAGCAAAACAACAATGAAACACTCAGCTGGCTAAAAATATCTTTTACAAATACCTTTGTAACCACGAGCTGTTTACAAATGCAGGAGAAAAACTGCTTGCCATCATACCTAGCTTTGCTCTGCTTATCATCCCTCCAACATTATTCTTTCTTGGAGAACAGTTGCTAGCACTATAAAACCAGCAAGACTTAATTCCAGTCTACCTTTCAGTTTTATGTGACTTTTTATGCCTGTTTTATGTGACAGTTTTAGGCTTTACCAATCTATTTTCAGTAATTTTTCTGTAAATTCCTGATGAAGGAACGCTCTGCAAAGGGTTTTGCTGTTACAGCTGCAGACACAAAGCACACAGCGACCTTCTGAGACCAGCATGGCACAGCTCTCCAGAGCCTGGATATTTTAAATTTGATAAATCTTGCCTGGTACATATTCAAACTGTTGCAGAGATTTGTCAGTTCTAGTCAGCTCCTGCAGCTAGTTCAGGCTGCAAAGAGAAGCTGGTAAAAGGAGGAACCTCTTTATCCCTTTCATTAATCTTGGAAATGTGCATGCCAGTAATTGAAATAATAAAAAATATTTAGACATAAAAATATTCTCCCAAGAATCTTTGCTGTTTGTTGTTTGGGTCTCATGAGAGAGCTCTTGGAGCTCATGGGAAGGGCTCTGCTGATGGAAAGAGAATAAAAAAGTTAAAGATTGTAGAGTTATTTTAATATTTTAGTATTTATTTTAACATGGATTTCTTTTTCCCATGTAGACTTTCACAGGGGAAAGAAAATTAATGACCCTGAATTGTTAAAAGCTTTAAGTGATTTTGGTCGATTGGTTTACTGTGCACAATGTATAAACAATGTTGAGACAACACAGCAGTACCACTTGTTATCCTTGTTTTGCCTTTCACTGGTTTCTGCAGGGCAGTTATTCTGATGCATTTTTATTGGGGCACTTGTGGACTGAGGGAATTATGCACTTGCATTTGAAAGCACTCAGAGCCCTTTGGCTTAACAAGGGTCTGGTCCCCTTCAGCTCAGGTATGTTAAAATTCCTTATACACAGCTAATTTTCAGTATTCAGTTCTGTGGACATCAAATTTACATCTGATCAGTCTAACCGAGTCTAAACAAAGAAGCTTTCTACAAAAGTAGTTAAACCTGAGTGATGGCACAACATGCAGTTGAAATATTCAGAAAATTCTTCTCCAAGGTTTCACCTGTCTATTCCTGCTGTGGGAAAAAGTTCATTTGGTTTTTGTCATGGTCACTGAACTACTCTCTGAGCTATGGCTGTAATCTGGAAGACAGTAATGAAGTTTAGGTAAATTTTTTTTCTGTAGGAAGTTATTAAGTAATGATAGCTTTAGAAAGCTGATGTGTTTGCTGAGGCAGAAGCAGTTTTTTTGCCCTTCTCTGGTGCACCTCAAACAGCTGATCAGAATGATTCCTTCACCTGAACTCACTGCAGGGTGTGGATCTGCAGAGTGAAATGCTGCTGGCTGGCCTTTACCTACAGGACACACATTTTCCTTTCCTCTCATCCAATCCTTGGGTTGCTATTTAGAACAAGACTGTAGGGATCTTTCTGAGACTGACTAAATTTGAATCCTTGTATCAGACATATCATGGTCTTATTGAGAAATACATTCAGCTTTCTCAAATCTATCCAGTTATCCTGCCCAATCCTGCTGAAGAATGTAATTCCTATTTGTTATTCTGTATTTATGCACAACCACACTCTATATAATCTTTCTTCTAGTAACGAAATTCTATAAATTAAATATGTCTCTTTCCCACAGTTTGTTTACTCTCCTAGGCACTCAGTATGGTTCCCTCTCCAGAACTGTTGTTTTTATTCTACAGATAAAACAGATGGAGTCTTGTTTTAAAGGAGGTTCTCTGATCCCCGTGCACTTCCAGTAGCACCTCTCTGTGCCTGTTTCCAAGAGTTTGGACTCTCTTTTCCCCAGTGCTCACAGCACCAGAATGAAACACAGTCTTCTAGAAATTTTCCCATTAGCATAAATAATTTCCAAGTTCTGCTAGAAACATCTTCATTCAAGCATTTAATTCTGTGAAAATCTCTTAGTCCATGAGGATAAATCCAAAGGGATTACCCCTGCAGCTGTGAATCCCACTCGCATTCTGCAGGCAGCCCTCTCCCTGCTGGTGGGACCTCCTTTATGCTGCATCCATCCTGAAGGAGCCCCTTTCACTACCCTCAGGGCCAGGATGGCTCCTGCATCACACACCAAAAGGTTCTGCAGCACATGGAACTCGAGCTGGGGGAACATGCCAGCCAGCAGCACAGCCCGCACGCTTCCCACATTTCAGACTGCAGAGAAAACTGAGAGTCCTTAGCACGGGCTGCAGCACAGGCCAAGAACAGGCATGAATGAGGTCTTCAGCTCCAGCTGCAGCTCTGAGAGTGACCTGCTCTTTTGTTTTAAAGTCAGATGCAAAGCTTTTACAAAATGGAGTGATGGTATTTGCTTGCCTGCACTGTCTGGGTAAATCTGAGGTGTAATTTGTGTTCATACAGGAGCCTGAATATGTAACCTGCCAAGCACTGACTAGCACAATCACTTTTAGACTAAAAAATGTACCTTCCACGGTCTGTGAGCAAATGCTTGTGTAATTGACAACACACATCATTTTGTGCTCAGGCATCTTGAAATGAAACTCATCACTCCACATGAAAGACTGCTTCTGAAGAGTTTCCCCATTTCATTAGCTATCTAGGTAACTTAGCTCCAAATACAAAATACATTCAATTTCTGCTTCTATACAAAACTAGTAGAAATGTGTGCCTAAAATACACATCTTGAGTGAAGTAAACATTCCTCAGCATCACCAAAATGCAAACACAGCAGAGGTGTATCAGAATCATGATCTGACTGTGCTGGGGGCCTGACTCTGTCCCTGCCCATGCCAGGCAGGCATGTGACACCTTACTCAGCATGTGAGAGTGGAGCAGAGCCGCAGACCATCAGTGCTCTGAGCTCCAGGAGCTGTGAGATTTCCCAGAGCTAAAGGGACAGCCACATGTTTAGCAGTAGGAGGGAGAAGACTTAAGCATTCATTTTTCTTCCCCACCTATGATCTACTTCTCTGCCTCTATTTTCAAGCATTTTCCTCTCTCAGGCATTAGCATTATCTTCCTCACACAGAGTTAATGCAAGTTTGTAGCCACTCAGACTTATGCTCATCTATTTTCTACAAAATTAATGGCAAGCTTCTTTCTCCTATGTTCCTTATCTCACAGTAAAATCAAACAACAAAAAAGCCTCTCCATCTCAACCTACCCTGCCCCCAAGAGGAAAAACCCAAACAACCTCAACCTCCAGGGTATCAAAGCAACATAAAAGCAAAACATAACAATTCTAACAGTCAGAAAGATTCAGGACCTGGTTCAGGTACTCCAGACCAGGTGGCAAATTATGAGTGTGTGATGCTTGCTTCCAGAGACTTGTTGGTTCAACAGGCATATTCTGCTGAGGAGTGTCAGAAGAACCAGGGAGGTAATCCTTAAAGATTAGTTTGCTTTGTCCCTGAGATTCTGCAGGGAAAAAAAAAAAAAAAAAAAAGATAAAAAACCCAGAAATATCAGGACCAAGGAGCAGCTAGGAGCTTCTTGGATCAAAGCTGGAACAATAACATCATTCTGCATGTGATTGTATCAGTACTTCAGGCCAGGAGTAAGGACCCAAAAGGAATCTCCTGATCGTCCCACACATCAAGCACAGATTATAAAGCTGCCTTGGGACATGCAAAGGGGAATCACTGCAAACAGGAATCACTGCAGATGAAGTTAAATCAGATGTGGTTTTGGAGGGCATCAGATCTGCTCTGGCAGCTGGTGAGCACAGAGCCTGTGTGGCAAGGCTGGAGCTGGCCTGGACTCACACTCAGGGTGGCCAGAACCCCTCAGCACAGCCCTGCTCCCTGTGAGCTGCCCTGTGGGCCCTGAGCTGCTGAGGGCTGGCTCCCAGCAAGATGCTTTCTAGCATCCTGAGGGCACCCATAATTTCTCTTAATTAGAGATAACCTTCCCAGGGATCTCAGATTCCCCAAGCTGAATATTACAACTCTGATATCAAAGTCTACAGAGCCCCTTATAGTGTATTATTCATTATTATCTTAATGAATGGATCAGATATCATTATGCTGTGTTTTCTGGTTTGCTACCACAAGAAGTCCTTTAGGGCACAGTGATGGTGACCTTGGCCAGGAATGTGAAGGTAATGAGAGCATTTACTGCCACAGCCATCTGTAACTCCACTCTGCTCCACAGGCACCATCTCCCACAGCACAGGGACCACCTTAACCACTGGATTGCCAAAAAATTCCTGCTAGTTTTTCCAGGTACATTGTTCCTTGGCCTGAGGCAACACTGGCTCTGCAGGAACCAGGAGGAGCAAACTGAAGCTCTCCCCATTCAAATGGCAAAATCCTTGTTATTGAGCTGAGCCCCAGTGATCTGGCAGGAAAGCAGTCCCCAAACTGATCATTTTTATCACATACTTAGACACAATGGGGTTTGAGGTCCAGGAGGAATTTTGGCTCTAAGTCTGAATCTCTTTATTTGCTACTGTGGGTTTAAATGAGATCCTTTAGTATTATTTGAACTCACTGTGAAAGATTCATCATTCAATCATATTTTGATCTTAATTTGTCTTTGCAGCCACTGCTTTCTTTCAAAGTCTGAGACCACAGGAAGAAGTAACCCCTTTGAATTTGTTGCTGGCTTTTAAAAATGTATAACTGGGTAATAAATATTTTATATCCTCTTCTGCATCACTTTACCTCACAGGGTTCTGTTACTGCCGTAACTCTTGTTGTTACATGAAATGCCACGAAGTAGCCCAGTGTTAGTGTTATTCTTGAATAATAAAGAGGGAAAAAAGACAACAAATTGCAGTTCTACCTGTCAAATTTTAAGCTATACAAAAAACAAACAGTAAATACATTAAATATTAATGACAATTTGAGCTAGTCTGACACTTTGTCTATTTTTGTGTATGATTCCCATTTCATTACTAGCATGGAGAACCTTAAAAGTTACCATATGATACAGTGAGTATTCTGTACAAACATAATTTGTAGAGTTGTATACTCCTGAAAGAGGTGAATTGTCAGTTTCTTCATACTAAAAACCATATTCCACAGCATTACTATTTAACCATTTCTCCTAACTGATATACAGGAAAAATATGCAAAACCCCATTTCTCTTATATGGCTAAAGCTAAACAAAATTTAAAACAAAATACTCTATATTGCAAGAGTAAAACAATGCTGCAAAACCTGCCTGCTCCTGTGTACTTTTCAGTGTTCTAATGCAGAATGGCTTGAGTGTTTTGAGGGCAAGAAAGGGGTATAAACATGTGGCAAACATAGTGAGACATTGCTGAAACTCCCTGGGCCAGCACATGCCCCTGCACATGCCTACAGAATGACCCCCCTGGAGCTGCACTCAAGAGAAAAAGAGATTTGTATCCTTCTGCTTAGTTGAAGCATTTGAAAACTTGGAGAAAATGAATTGTGAAGGCTGCTTAGATCAAATGCTGCACGTTTGCCCACTGCTCTGAGTAATCAATGGCTACTGCTGAAGTCAGTACATGACAGACACACCCAGAGAGGAGTAATCTGATTAAATTCAGTTATTCTTGAGTTATTATTCTTCATATGGTGGGTTATCAGATCTCTGGCCAGTTTTGAATGTGAAAAGCCTTTGCTGATGTGGTATTTTCAAAGTGAAATAGGGAAGAAGTGTGCAAAAATAGTGGCACCCTTGGCTCAGTACCCACCCTTGCCAGGCATTCTGTAGTGACAGGTTTAAACACCAAAATTGACAGATTTAAGCACCAAGATACCCACACTCAATTTTCTGATTGAATGCAGAGGCTAACATTTTATAATATATTTTATTCAAATAACATCCTACTATAGATTTTAGTCTCCTTAGGAGCCCCTTGAATGCTGGATGCTGAAAAATTAAAGGAAGACAAAACAATTGTGCGTTGACTGATGTGGTTTTATCCTGAAACGCTCATTTCATCAGACTGCTGATTGCTGGAAAGGCACAAGCCTGTAGTTCTCTGCAAACACGATCTAAAAATACAGACTACAGATGCACTTACCTTGAGAGGCCATGAAGCTTCCTGAGTTACTTCTTCAAAGGAAGCCGGGTTAAAAGAAAAGGCTTTTCTTGCTGCAGCAAATAAAGCAGGGCTCACAGCATGCCCGGGACTTCAGAGGGTGTCTGTGTCCCGGCTATCGGCGGCGGGAGCGGCACCGAGCGCGGCGCGGCCGCGGGGGGAGCGCCGGACCCTGCGCCCATCCCAGCTGCGGAGAGAGGGAAAGGAGCTCGCAGCTGCACCGTGCCCACTGCCTCAATGAGCACCTTGGAACTAGAATCCTGCTTTAGAACGTCTGTGTTTATTCTGGGAATATAATGATGCTGGTTTCAGGTCACTATTTGCGTCTCCACTTCTTCGGGCTATTCGGTAAAGACAGAGAAGCCAAAATGAAGTTGTGGACAGCTCATCCCTAGAAGTGTTTAAAGCCAGGCTGGAGGGAGCTCTGAGCCCCCTGCTCCAGGGAAAGCTGTGCTTGTCCAAGTCAGGGGGTTTGGAATTAGATCATCTTAAAGGTCCCTTCCAACCCAGGTCACTCTATGATTCCATGATTTCCCTACAGCTGACCCTAGTGAACATTTTCCATGCACAGAGCAGGAAAAGCCATCTTGGATTTCTCACTGAATTCCATCCATGTAACATTAGCCAGAGGATGTCCTCCAAGGGATGTCATGCCTACACCCAGAGCCAGAAAATCACCCTATACATTCATTCCCTCACCACCATGCCCCCCCCAGCACATCCACACAGGGCTCTGCTGATCCCTGTGAGGTGTTTGAACTGGATTTGGAGAACTGAAACAGTCTGACACTGTTTGTCCCGGACAAGCACGGTCCAAAATTGTGACATACATAATTACCCCCACTGCACTGGAAGGAAAAGATGAGGAGAAGGGAGAATAATGTTCACTTACCAGCTCATATTCCTGCCTTGAGTGCCCCAGCTGCTGTGGAAATCATCAGGCAGATGTGATCTGCAGGCAGCTGGGATGCACGGCTGCAGGAATGGCAGAGCCTATGCACAGAGCCCAGCAGAGCACAGGGAGGTGCTGGGGACCATTTCCTGTCCTCTCTGCTACTGCAAGTTGCACTGGTTTGAATATGTCTGAAGAATGGTTGAGCAGATTAAATTCCAGTGTTTTCAGCTCAGGAAGACGCTGATGAGGATTCTCTAAAGGAAAAATATAGAAAACCCATCCCAAAAAAACCCCAAATTATACAGAAGCTGATTTTTATAGACTATAGTAGCAAATGCAAGAGCCTCAGAGCTACTCATGGGTTTGGCTGCATGAAGTTTCCCAGGAATTTATCCTTGCCTGCTTGGGAACTCCCTGGGTGCAGTGGCAAGCACAGCTCAGCCCAGGAAACAGAGACTGCTGTGCTCAACCTGGAAACAACCAGAGAAGTGACAGAGACAAACGTTGTGGTGATTGAAAAATGGGTTCTGAACAAATCCTTCTCCATTAGAAGGAAGTTTGACATAGCTGGAAATAAAAATTAAGAATGGCCAAAAGTTTTTGCTTCCTTTCTCCCTGTCAAGGATGGGCTTTTTTGGAGCAGAGGCTCTAACCCAAAGAGCAGATGCAAAGCCTAAAAAAACCAAAAAAAGGTACAGGGAAAGCTCTGGACAAATATAGTAAACCTATCTTTTAAAATTATATAAGAGAATTCAAACAAGATGGCACTCAATTATCTCTAAAAATTAATACTTATTTTACCTCCCAGAAAATTACAGGGCAAAAAAAAGTCCCAGTAATTCTGTCACTGCATAAAACAATCATAATACATAAAGAGAAGTTCCTCAAACAGACAAAACACATTTTAAAAATATATGCTGAAAAGAGAAGTTTAAAAAGCATTTTTTGAGAAGTCCAAGTGATTCATTTGCTGACCCAGGCTCTGCCCAAGAGCTGCCTGGGCAGCACAGGCAGCCTCCCCTCCCTGCAGGAGCCAGGTTTCATTTTCCTGCTGCTCATGAAATAAACATTTCCCTGAAATAGTTCTGTCCCAAAGAAGCAATTTTTAATGACATTATTTGCAAAATTGCAATAAATAGGTAACAGAAAGAAACACAACTTGCTCTACATATATTTTGTGGGTTTTTTCTTTTTTTTTTCCACAAATTTTTACATCTTTTATATGTCCCCTTTTACCCCACTCCTATTGGTTTATTCCAAAGCAACAACTGTAGTGGAATATATCATCAGATTTCTGAAGGATTTGCAAGCAACAGTCTTGCACCAGCATAAGTCTTTACAAGTAAAACCACATATTTAATAATGTAATCTGAATTTTTGGTGAGTTTTTCTTTAAATAAATACTCATATATTGGTGCAAATATGCTGCTGCCATGATTAAAAGCATTCTCACTAAGACATCAGGTACATAAGACTTAATAATATTTATTCAAGCACAAAGACAGCAATTCTTTGGTGCCCTTTAGATATGCACAGGTGGAACTCAAGAAATGAGAACAAACATTTAAAGAATTGTGTACTACTACTTCTAACCATATTTTAGGGCCTTCAGGAAGCAGAGCAGCAGCACTCAAAGGAGAATTTCATCAAGACAATGAACTGGTTACCTCTGTGACTTGAAGAAGGCCCAGGGGAACAAAATCACTGCCTACACTGACTGACTCTACCAGTCAGAGTCTCAGCAGTGAAATAGTGTACACTGCCCTGCATGAATATGCTGGGCATCTGAAACACATTCACAGCTATTTGGGAAAAAAAAAAAAAAAAGAAAAAACAAAGGAAGAAATTGAGTCATACATTCCTGCTAGCTCTAAAATATTCTTGCTCCATCCCATGCTGTAAAGCTGATAAAAATTGATAGGCAAATCCTTAGAAAGGCACGAGTTAGCATGGATCCATCAAAATCAATCAACCTATCCAGATCAGAGTAAGCAGTGCTTGGCTGGAAGAGTTTATACATCTAAGACCTTCCCTTGTTCCTTAAAGAAAAATTGCATCTTTTCTATAACTACCAGTTCCCCAGAGGCCCAGAGATCCATCCCTGCTGAGCTGAGGTACAGGCACCACTGCAGTTCATGGTTATCACACAAATTACTGCAGCCTGCAGGAACCACATCCATGGACTGAGACATCCTTGTCCTCAGCACAGAAACAGAACACAGATTTTCCTCCAGAAAGGATGCAGTAACAGCCAACCAGGTGGATCAAGAGAGCAAAAATGTCACATAGTTCAGCACAGGTGCCATTTCTCTGGAGACTAATCACTCTTCCATTTTCTACAGGCACCACAGGAGGAGTATGGCAATGGTTTCACAAAAAACACCCTCACAAGAGAAAAACAGGAGACAGTACCAAATTTCAAAGTATTAGGAAAAGCTGTTTGATTTCTCGTCCTGCTCCCTGCTGTTCAGAAAACTGCTCTGTGAGCTTGGTGTGAGGTGTTTGTCCCTGCACTCAGCAGGAGAAGATGGCACTCCCCTTTCCCCACTGTACCACTACAGACTCCTCCAGGTAAGACGAAATTTCCTCTCAACCTCCATAAGTTCAGGCAAGAGAGCACAGCCCCTGCCCACCTGCCCTTCCTGAGCCCCAGGGATTCCCAGTGCCATGCAGAAAAGGCTGGGAGCAGCACACACAGCATCAGGACAGGCTGGAAGCAGCACACACAGCACCAGGACAGTCTGGGAGCAGCACAGAGACACCAGGACAGGTTGAAGGCAGCACACACAGCACAAGGACAGCCTGGGAGCAGCACAGAGACACCAGGACAGGCTGGGAGCAGCACACACAG